ATATATATACATATATATATATATATATATATACATATATATATATATATTTAAAAAGGAAACATATTCATTCTATGACACTCTTAATACCACTGGTCTGCCCCCAACTGACCGGAGAACTGTAGTTTCTCTTGCAGAGAGTACAGCGACACGAGGCCACGTTGGCCTGTGGCTGTGGAGTCGAGGCCTGACTCTGAGGTTTGCCTTGGTTTTGGTTCACAGGTGTCGACTTGGGATTAGTAGTGGTGGGCTTCGAGCTGCTGCTGCTACGTTTCGGGGAGGAACTGCTGCTCTTCTTGGGAGGCGTCACCTCCCTGGATAGTGGTTGGCCTGGCCGTGGGCTGACGCTGGGCGTGCTGTTGTCCCTCCGCAGTCCACGATGCACTTCGTCAAAGTGTCGCCGCACGTTGGCTTTTGTGGCAAAGGTTTTGAAGCACACTGGGCAGGATTTCCCTGTAGGTGTGGTGAGAGTCCTGGGTCGACCTCCTTCATCAAAAAACAAGTAATATTTCAATTATTAAGTCAGCGAAGACAATACTGGTCTTTATCAGTTATACTCGTCAACTTTGAGCTGGGACACGTTCTCATCGTCCTTGACATAAACATCTACCTTTAACCATAGACAGCAGGCTTGTGGGCACTGTCCGTGTCTCTGTGAACTTCCGCAGTTCCTCCAATTTGGTCTGGTGCATTTTGCGGCAGTGACGCCTGATGCTGCGGCGCGAGTTGAAGTCCTGACCGCACAGGCAACAAGAGATTGTCACGTCCTCGACCTGATGAAGGAGAAAAATGACAGAAGTACAGATTGAGTAACCAGCTTGAAACAAAGTGAACAAAGAAGAAAAGCAATTTTGTTCTGGTTTGTTTTTCCCCCCCACAGTCACTGACCCCACTTGTTGACTCCTCATCTTCAGGTTGAGGCTGCTCTTCTTTTGTTTCCTCCTCAGCCTCCCATTTCCGCTGCCCCTGGCTGGGTCCTGGACTGCTGCGGCTCTCTGGTCCTCCACGCTGGCTCACCTGGTTGTTGTCTCCGCCTTCAGTCGGTTCTCCTTCCCAGGCTACTGGACTTGCTCTAGCACTGAGAATAAAAGGACACGTCGAATCGGTGAACTTGTAAGACAGCTTGATACACTGATCGCCATCAGTGAGAACACTGACCTGGTTGTACGTGATGGGTAACGAGCCAGCTCGTCTTCTGTGCTGAGATACTGGAACACAGCCTTGGTCGTTGTCTGAATGGGCTCCAGGCGGACCACGTAGTCTGACCGGTCCGATCTGGGATATATGGCATCCAGTAAATCCTTCATGGCTACGCTCTGTCTGTCATCACCACAGGAACCTAAAAAAAAAAACGAGGAAAGAAGGAGAGTTCCTAAGTGTTTATTTTAATAATTTGGTAATTTTTATGAAGTTACCGCTCAATAAATTCACAGCACTGTAACAGAGAAAATAGATACCATTCATTATTCACCTACCAACACGGTACAATTACAGGCACTAGTAATTGACTCTCTGTTGAGAAGAAATCAAGTCAGTGATGCAAAAAGGAGAACTTAATTAAAATCACAGGCTAACGTGGGGAAGATTGTGATAAGTAAGTTTGTTTTGGTGTTTTTTTGGCGATCATTAAAGTGGAGCAAACTGAGGAAAATATAATTGACTGCTTTAGATGAGGATTTTATTTTCTTTTGGAAAAGAGTGTCTGCAAGACTTTATCCTCACTGAGTCTCCGACCACTGAAAAGAGAAGAAAGATCTGGACAGATACTGTGGCTAATGAGAAGTAGATAAAACAGCCGCGGCGTCTGATCAAAGTCACTATCCGACACGTCATGAGAGGAGAGCGGAGCAGAAACTGTTCTGTGTCAGAGACTTGAATGACAGACTGAAGATGTAACAGTGTGCACGGGAGTTTATGTGTTTTAAAAAATGGAGTGTGACGAAGAAGAAAGAAGACTCCATACAGAGAGAAGGCAATAATAAGCAGGAGACAGTAACGTAGAAGACAAAATAGAAAGCTCTGTGTGGCAGAATATAAAATAAAATATTTTTTCTTTAAAATGCCTCAGGTAAGGCTGAAGTAATCAGTGACTCTCTACAGAGGTCAGTAAATATATTGCAGTATGTGCAGGAAGTTCATTTTTTTTGCATTTGCAGGTTCTCCGGATTCACATAAAGAACTGAACCAGAGCTTTGAGGCATTTGTGCTGCTGATGATTAAATACTAGTAAAAATACTTAAAAACAACAACATGTGCGGCTCAAACAGTGCGGTATTTACGATACTTAAACAAAATGAAAGTTAATACAGCCAGTCTTTTATGCCAGTATCGGTACCAAAGTACCAGTAAGTATTTGAAGGAATGATCAGACTTGTGCATTCCTAGTTTTAGCAGTATTTTGTTAGAACCAGTGACTGCAGGTATAAATATTCCTGACATGTTTGTATTTAATGTGATATATTACACACTAATAAGCGGCGCCACTTACCATCTGAGTCAGGCAGCCGTGACAGGCAGTAGTACTCCTTGTGTGTGATGAGGTTGGGCAGGCCTCTGAACAGGCTGCGGCACAGTTTACATTCAAAGATGGTGTCCACCTCCCTCAGCAGCATGTGTTTCAGCTGACTGGTACCTGCGGGACAGAGATAAGCAGCGCTGATTATCTGGGCCATACACCGTGTACCTACAGAATATTCTGAAATATCATTAAACCCCTGATCATAATCCTGATGATACAAAGAAGCCCTAAAACGAGCACCTGCGGCACGTAGCCCATCATGTTCCACTCGACAATATGCTGATGCCCTCAAAGCTCGGGGTTACCTTGACTATGAGAGACATGTTCTTTCATCTGAATTATGTTAGATTTCAACGACTTCAAGGCTCTCCTTCAACACAGGAGAATAGAGCGATATCAGGTGTATGTCTATGAGGAAGTTGACAGAGTAAAAGACGGCCATGCCTGTCTAATGTGATGTACGTTGCCTCCTTAATTTGGAATCTTGTTCAAAGGCGGCTGTCTAAAATAGATTTGCTGAGCTAACTCATACTTACACCCTCTCCATTGTTATACTTTCTAAGAAGAAAACTAATTACACATTGTTCATGTTAACATCTTATTTAAATATTCATTTATTTAATATTTAACTCATTGCATTCATTATTTAGTTATTTATTTTCAGCGTGGGTTTCCATTGGCGACACCATTCTCAGTAGTGGGCAGGGTAAATCAATTTGCGAGGACTCATTGACCCTAAGTGACATCCCAGTGCACCTGTCCTCACCAGAGCTCTTTGCGGTTTTATCAAATGCAGGCCTAAAGTCTTTGACATTAATCACAAGCTAATGAAATTAGCCCCAAAATCAGATTTGGCCACAGAGTTTTGTTTATGAAATATTTTCTGTATATCATATATCACAAATATTTCTATATATAACTCTATCCCTTATCCACTAGGGGGCAGAACAGATGTATCAGATCATATACAATAGTTTTAAAAAAAATCTATCATATTGATTAGCTATAGGTCTCAGAATTGTGTGGAGCAAATACTATACAAATGGTTTTATAGGGTTAATACTTCTGTGCATATACTCAGAGTAAATTTAGCAACAAGACAAATAGCAGCTGTAGTAAATCTGCTAAAAATAAAGTTGATGCAAAGCAAACTTTTCTCAACATTATTGTACCTATATGTATAGAGAGAACAGCACACACCAAAGAAGTTAACAGACACACAAACCTGAACGGAAGCATTCAATTATCTGCTGAATCCCAGACTTGGAGGTGTGCAGAGGCTGCTGGAGCAGTGGAGGATCCCCAGGCTCAGTACAGACACCTGGAAGAGGAACAAGAGACGAAGTAGAGACAGTCAGTGTTGAAGCAAAGCCAGCATCTGATTAGAGCAAAGCAAGACCGTGTCTGGGAAACAACGGCTCAACCTGGGAATTCCACAGACCTGGGAAGACGCACGGTACACTGCAGCTTGAAGTTTGAAGTTTGAAGGTTACGACACAAATTACAGAGTCAGACAATTACTGTACGTCTGTGTGAATCGCTACGACCTTATTACGGTGGTGTGGAGTGCATGTGTGCTCGTGCACACACGGAGGTCATTTGTCTTATCAGTTATTAAGTTCTTTCAAAGATGTAAACAGTCCTCACAATCAAATCAGTGACGCTGGTCCCCCCCGTGAGGTAGGACTGTGTTGGCAGGAACATGCTGACTGTGGGGTTTTTTTCTGCCCAGACTCACGTTGGTTCTGAGCCAGCACAGCATCTAATACCTGAGATTTGTTGTCACAAGGTGCCGCTCAGTCAGAAACACGACCCGGAGGGTTTTTATTAACGCATGTTTGAAAATGATTTTTTTTTAACCTTTGCTCCACCTCAATCACCAGAGACTGCAGGCTCAGCTGTAAAGAACAATCTGGATGATGTTGGGGATTTGAGGGTATGTCGGTCAATCTGCCCTGCTCTGATACGACCACACGTTCATTTGATTTAACTCTGGCTCGAGGCCAGAACAGCTGTTCCAGATTCATGTCCTACAGATAATTGATAGTGGCCACACAAAATAATATATTTTGTATTTGAACTGACAATTTTTAGTATTAATGGAGCCTGTAGAAACAGAGATTAAAAATAGAGATCACTCTTTATATAAGTCACGTGTCTCAAACTCAAGGCCCGTGGACCGAACGAGGCCCGTTCAGACGTTTTTGAGACATTGATCAATGCGTTGAGCCTGAACTCAAATCACAGAAGGTTTGTGTTATTTATGCTTTTCAGGCACTAATTAAAAGTGTGTGGGGAAACAATATTGAACACTACAGATGTCAGGTGTGTGTGAGAGAGAAGGAGACGGAGAAAACCACAGGGGGGTGGAGGGAGTCCTAAGATGTCTATTTTTAAAAATGATTATCTGTTCACTTTGGGTTGAGACAGACAAGCTTTACTCTTATAGCTTTAAATGCATAACACAACTGAGCAGAGGGCATCTAAATCATTATTGATGAATGGGGGGGCAACATTTAAAGAAGCTATCAATAGTTAAAAGTCAGGAGTGGCAATCTTTACAGCTTGTTACATTTGAATAACTTAAAAAATTGAGGACTTTAGCTTTACTTTGTACCACTGCGGTGTTTCAGAAGGAAAATCCCAGGAGCCCAGAGGAGACAGAATAAGACCAGTACAACAGTAGGCCAAGGACAAAGTGGAATCCCACAAACAAAGACGCAAAAATGTTACGACGATGAAGTTAAACAAGGATAACACGGTTGGAGTGTTCCACCGTCTGAAATAGATCGGTGTAAATAACTGTCAAAAATCTATAAACTCTCATTTAAATGTCTGTTGAGGTTTTGAATTCTGGATAGTCGTGAATTATTTAGACAAAATAAAATAAAGGGTGAAAACACAGAACCCACTTTGTTCATCAAAGATCAGACAACTGTTGAAAATCAGACTGAACTTTATAATCAAGTAAATACTGTTGGGAATAAATTATATTCTGACTTTTAATACAAGATGTTTGGATTCTAAACCAGTGAGAACTTCACCTGGAGTGGTGTAAAAATCAATCACTCAAGGGGCCGAAATTTAAAACAGTTTTTGAAACAAGTTTTGGGGCCAAACAGAATTAACATTAATACGTAACAGTCTAGCGCTGAGAGAATGATCTTATCAGATATTTTGCATTTGAACAGATTGCAACAACTATTTCCAAAAAAATACAAATAAAACAAAATTTAAAACAACCCACATGCATGTTAAACTCTGGTGGGCCACATAAAACGAGGTGCCGGGCTGGATTCAGCCCACGGGCTTTGAGTTTGACATGTGGTTTAGAAGATTTCTTTCACCATTTTAAATGTATCACTAAATAAAATGGTCAATTTAAAATGGAGAACAAAATCAGGATGGGTTTAAGTTTGTGGATTATTAATGAGACCAGTTCACAGCTCCTGGCCATGTGACTCGGCTGGATGTTCTTATTCATTACATTTCATATGTTTGTGGAAACACGCAAAAACAAGAGGTAAATGAACCCAAAGGCGAGAGACGAACAGCAGCAGGCACCGTGTCATCACCTCAATATCTCCAGTTTTATGTCTCCCATTATATCGACGTGAAAGTGAAAATGAGTAACAGGGGAGAGCATCGTTTCTGCAACACAAAAAAACATTTTACACAACTCCAAATAAAACACTGTCTAACTGACAGCTGTGACAAACATCCAGTGTTTGTTCAGCAATGAAAACACGCGCTTCAATTACAGCCAGCGCGCTGCAATTTATCCCACCCGGAAGACACACCAGTGTCGAAGGAAAAACGCTGCATTTGGCTAATTTATGACAACATTTATCACATTACCTGGGTCTGGTTTTTCATGACACCTTTTTTTTATATGCAATTTCATTCTGTTTGATATAATCTCCCAAAATGTATTCACTTCTGGTCTGATCATGTTACAGTGTCACACAGTTTAAGATCCACTTAACCTTAAACTGCTTAAGGATTGTTCCGATGCAGGTATCTTTGTACATTTACCACTTTTGGTTTGTGTGTGTTCTGCTGAGTAAGAGATAAATGAAAAGCAACACAATCAGAAGACAGGAAAACACACTCGGAGAGTTGCCTGTAGCTGTGAATGACGTCTGTGTCAGAGGTTTCAGCAGAGGCTGAGACCACGTATTAATGTGTGACAGAACATGTTTTTCCCCATAACCCATCCCCCTCCCCCGCTGCACCTCGGCCCAGGCAAACAGCTACTATTCCCAGTAGGCTGGGTGAGTGACCTGGTGACCTTCACAACCCTCCCTCCCTCCCTCATCGGCCTCAGGGTCGGAGATCATCCAATCAAAAACGTCTGTCAGCACAAAACAACTGTGTGTTTGGCAGAAAAGTTAGAAATGAACGCAAAATACTGAATACAGTATTGAACTGAAAAACCTGACGTCAATAAAATAATGTAAAGGGTTGTTCCCCAAAAGTCAAATTACATTTAAACCCATTCTCATCAGATACGTGGACAAAGAAAAATACTTTCAGAATTTACTGAATCGACTCTAAAATTCCACCATGAATGGTACCTTGTCAGACTGCAGATTCCTCCATGCCAAGGCTACTGATGCATACCACGCATACCATCACTGAGTACACTGTAATAGTAGTATTTGGACACAAAACATATTGTCCTCTGCAACAAATGTCTTTTAACTCGTAGGTGCTGGTTTGACTGCAGCTAAGGAGAACCACTATGTGCCATGTTGGTGGTGTGTGTTTAAGCACAAATGATTCCACCTTCTTCTGGACGCAGCTGCGGAGGAGGGATTGTGTTGTGTGTATTCGTGTGTGTGTGTGTACACAGTGAATCATGACACTATTTTTTATCACAAGGTCATGTCTTCAAATGAAAACTTGTTAAGAATCAAAAATGTCTCAAAGTATTCACGAGTATGTTATTTTCTTAAGTACACATTCACCAGAGTCAGGAACTTTTTTTTTTTTGCATCATGCATTCACCAGAGTCAGGAACTTTTTTTTACGTCTTAGAGACACTGCTTCGATGATCTGTGTTTTTTTCAGGATCTTAGACAAATGAACTGACCTGTGTTGTGACTAAAGCCTCCAGCTGTGACGTGCTGAAGCTGCTCCTCCGTCTGGCAGCTCTGGTCCCTGGTGGTACTGTTCCCGTGGTGCTGGGGTTCGGGCAGCAGAGGAGGAATGGGTTTCCACAGAAGCTTGGCCTGAGCAGCAGAGTCCCCCTTGTCCTGGACGTCCATTGGAGTTGACTCCTGGCCTCCATTCTCAGACTGAGCCGAATCCGAGGCCCTGAGCTCGGCTTGATCCGCGGACTGGGCTTCTTCATGGGGCTGCTCCGGTGTCGCCCGCTGCGTCTGAGATGGAGTCTGGTCTGCCTCCGTCTCTGTCTCTGTCTGACCACCAGTCTGTTGGAGCCCATCCAGACATACATAGAATTCAAGTTACAAAAAGCCAAAATAATTTGAGAAAACTGTATTGTTCTTTTGGTACGGTTCGAATGACAGTTGAAAATAACCCAGAATAACTGGTGTTACTGACGATGCAGCATCAGAGTCTAAATGTGTGCATGCAGCTGCCATGTCTCCTGGGCTACAGGGAAAATTAACTGCAGCGCTCCTCAGCAGATCAATGACTCCACATTCATTTGGACGAGTGTGAAGTGAGTGGACTTCTGTCTTTAAGTCCCCGGTCTCTTCGCCTCTACGGCCCACCAATTTATCCTTATCTCTGCGGAGCATTAGACAATTTCACCCATCAGACACATTAGAGCATCTCCACAGGACAAGTGGGTCACGAGGACACTGTGGGCGCTCCATTAGAAGAAAACAAACAAACAAACAGTCTTTTCCCCAGCGAGATCATTAGATCAACATTAAGCCAAAAAAAAAAACCTTGTCTGTGAAAAGACTTAACATCTCAATTCAGTTACTAATTTATCAAATATCTTTTGTTTGTGTTGCATTATCGTGTATATGGAAATATCTTTTGTTTGTGTTGCATTATCATGTACGTGTTTAGTCCAAACTAACATTACAAATAATTAATAAATTAAAATAATTAAAGAAAAAAAAATCAAGATTTTAAAACAAATAAATTAAAATAATTAAAGAAAAAAAATCAAGATTTTAAAACAACATGTATATACTGTATATATATATATATATATATAATTTTAACAGCATGTGAATGAACAACAGAGTTCATTTTAGCCAGTGACAAAAACATCAAAAACAATTGTTAATTATTATCATCTGACTCCTTTAAGACACAGCTACTACACAATGCGTATATTAGATTAAAGTCAATAGTTTGAGGCTAAGTGTCAGAATTTTTTATTGCGTTCATCAAAATATAAAACGTAGATATAAAAAAAATGTCCAAAATTTGGTATTAATGCCAAAATAGTGACACAAATATTAAACTGTGACATGAAACAGGTGCGTGGAGGTATTAAATCCCATAATATCATCAAATTTCATAATATACTTTTCACTTTCTTAATGTGCTAATTTGACCTTCTTTCTCAAACCTTTTTTTTTCTTTGAACTAATATGTTTATGTTGACCTGTTTTTCACATTATGGATGTTGTACGTCTATTTTTGTCTTTTGTCACACATGGAATCTGGAGGTGAAAGCCATGAATGGGAATTCAAATAATATCTCAGAATTACTGACTTTTTCCAGTACCTGTCTACGGAGACAGTGGGAGGTTTTCCTCCCAGACGACGTCTGGACCTTCACCATGCTGCCAAGACCGGCTGCTGCAGCACAGGTTCACTGCCAGCACACACCTGTCACCTGCAACAACACCAAACATGAGCCAATGACTGCACTCAGTGAAGCATTGTTACTGCACAATATACTTTGAAACACACAGGGCACATACTTCAACTTAATATTTGAAGTTTATTTTGATTTACTTGACCGACCGATGCCTAACTTGCTAAATAGTGTTGATATTAAAATTTAAAAACAGCACACAGCTGTGTACTAATAGTTCGTGTCAATCACTGTGTGCTGTATTTTACCGCACTGTGTTTATTCACTGTGGAGTGCTCAGAATGCCAGCGGAGCAAAAGCTGTGTCTAAATATAAAACACCACTAAATATTTTAAGATTTATGATAATGGTTCTCACAGTTTCGTACTCAGCCCCTGGTCGGTTCACCTAATGCTACCTGGATTATTACTCTGAATTACAACGGCTTTCTCCGTGTGCATTAAAATAAATACTCTGCCCTTCACCTACACTGTAGGTGATGCTAATGGATGTTTTGAAGATTGTACAGCTATGATCTTATTGCATCTTATTGCTTTCTCTGTAAATGTATGCAAAGGAGTACAAGAGTCACACATACATGCCCACAAACATATTCAGAAAAACAAAAGCTTGAACAACGACTAAAGGGGAAAAAAATTATGAAGAACAAGCATTATAGGCAGAAAAAAACGATATATTATGAAGAACAAGCATTATAGGCAGATAGTTAAAAAAACGATATTAGGTTTTTCATATGAAAAGCCAGCAAACATCACTACTGATAGAAACAAAAACCCTCAGCTAAAAGACTGCCCTTCGTTCATGATGATTGATTTATCCGAGTGATACCGCTGACTGATAAAGTAACAGTTAGTTACTGCCCTCTAGTGGGGGATTGAGTGCATAAATGCACCGGCTTCCAAAACAGTAGAGCCCTTGTATTTCTTCCAGATCTACTGTATATGTGCAGCTACATATCACAGAGAAAGAAAAAAATGTTTCCATTTTTAGTGCCTGTGTTTTTATGTTAAACATTGAGTTTAAAAGTATGTCTTATATGAAGGGACCATTAAATGTGAGGGCGGCATGCAATAGGTTTTTGTCTCGCGAAAGAAATGTTACACGAGTCCAGGACCGAACGTAATTTCCTGCCAGATGACAAGCGGATTGTAAAATTAATTTGGTTAGAAAATGTGACAGAAAAACTGAAAATGTTAAGTAACTTTAACTAAATCTATTTATATCATATATATTAATTTAGTATAGCTTTATTACGTTTCTACCTAAGCACCTAACCAGAGATATTTTAACCCCACTGAGAGTGACGAAAAAGTAGTTGACAGCACACTTTTTGCCAGCACAGGTATCATTGCGATTCCACCAATTGTCCATGAGAGGGAGACAAAGCTTTCACTTCAGGTGATTTTCATCTTCTTGTAATAGTGGTTTGTCCAGAGACCACAGACAAGACCATATACAGAATTCCCCAAAAACAACATGAACAGCTCTGGGACAGACACAGATCCAACTGTACCACGTGACAAGCACATCTCCCACCACTTAAGGACAAATGAGGACATCCGTGTCCTGCATATGTTTTTGGTCTACCAAATATTGATTGACCCCCAACGCTGTATAGCACTGAGTACTAAACCTAGTACTAAATAAAAATGATTATTTAAGAAAAACAAACAAACAAAAAACAGGTATGTCAGTGTATAATAAACCTTTTCGGTCATATTTTTTTTTCAATTTCTCTTTTCCATTTTCCCTGCAGTAAATGGTAACTTAACCTTACCAGGACTTCACACAATGGTCATAGCTAGGTGTTAGCTTGACTGATATTGACAATACTGTGACAGTCTAGCAGTCCCGTGGCTTCTGTTGAATTTGTCTGTATTTCACCATAATGCATGCTGGGAGTTAATGTAGCACCCAGTCATTCTCAACAGCAGGAAAATGAAAAAGTTAAAAAAAAAAAGTGGGTCAGTGCATTAAGATGAAACGCTGACAATGGTATCAAAACACATCTTTCCATTAATGGAAACATTCATATGTCACAACCAGAAAACTCAGTTTCCTCTGTCTGACAGTCTCCACTACAATGTTTAACATGGTTAACCATACAGAGCTTTTTTATCTAGTGACACTGAGACTTGGCATTAGGAAGGTGCAAATCCCCATCCTAACCTTACACCAGACTAATTTCTTTGTCAAGGAGTGTTTCATTAAAACCTGACAGGAAGGAGCTGGTTGGAGCTGACCCAGGCTTAAACGCCCCTGTGTGGACAATTGTTTAAAAACACATCAGGTACAAGACTTCCTGGATTCGTTTCAAAAGGAGTTACATTCAGTGCAGAGTTTCAAACGCCAACGCTTTTCAGCCACACACGGCTGATAACACATTCAAAACACAGACAAAAGGGAACGTCCCCTGTGTTTTTGTGGTAACATAATCAAGATTCTGTAGTACTGTAGTTCTGCTCTGACTAAGGTTTTTGGGCTTGTGATGAAAGTCATTCAGGAGAAGTAAATAAAATAACTGTTACATATAGCACAAAAGATATATTATTATATATTAGTCCAAAATTATATTAAATATAAACTATTGTTCTTCCATCAACCTAAAATAAATCTTTCACTACCAGGTAACGTCACCTTTTAACTTAAGCTACCATATGCTCTTGTGTGGTTCCCATGGAACAAATCGTAATTTGCATCAGAAACAGGCATTTCAGAAACACTTTGTTCTGCAGTTTGTTTGTTTTTTACCCAAAGGTGATATGGTACATCTCACAATAAATTCCACACTGAATTATGTTAATACAAAAGGGAGTGGGGGGTTATTTGTTAAAGTGTTTTTCATTTGGGACAACAAATTCTTGAATGCTCTTACAGAGGCAAATAATCTACTCCAGAAGAGCTGTACGTCAACCTTCTGGGAAACATCAGTGTCTTCTTTGTGTCTCAAAAAGAAATAGTTGCTTCTTTTCACAGCATGAACTGTGTATTTCTCAGAGCAGTGGCTCCTGCCTTGTCATAGTTGTTTCCGATGGATGCAAAGATGTTGTCTGACAGAAGCTCCTCCTAATGGAGACTTCTCCACACTCTCACATTACGCAGCCTGCTGACAGACACAGCAGTGACACTGGCTGACCACAAGAAGGAGAGCAACAACAACAGAGTCAATTGATAAAGTTACTTGGTACTTTAAAGGGTATTAAAAAATGAAAATAAAATATTCAACTCGGCGGTTCAGGAAAGAGAGCGCAAGATAGATATTACAGTTGAATTATCTCAAGTACAAGACTACTAGTACTCAATAGTAATTCTGTGTAGTGCATGTAGTGGTCTGGTAGTACTCAATAGTAATTCTGTGTAGTGTATGTAGTGGTCTGGTACGGTCTCAAGTTGGGTGCATTTCATAGGGCAACCTGTACAAAAACTTTTTTTACTGTGTCTAAGAAAAAGTGGAACAATATAACAGTTGCTAATTCACACTGCCTATGTTGTTAATACTGATCTCCTGCTTGTATTTACTCCCCTCAGTGCTTATCTAAGGTCCTGTTTACGAAACGACTACAGTAGCCTCCGGATACAACGCGTTTACACAGATCAGCCACAAATAAAATCTACATCTAAACTGTGCTGCAGAATATGATTCTAGTCTAACTAACACAGAATAATGTAAACAAACTCAAAAATGAAAAACAAAAAGGCAGAAATGGCTAACCTTAGCACACCAAATAGCTGAATTAGCTTCTACAGCACGGTCGGCCTAAGATTGCTCCAAACAAATCACCCTGTGCTCAGCTTTGGAGATTTCCAAAAAATAAAGAAATCTTGTATTTTGTATTTAAATGATCACTTGTGTGACTCTGTTAAGTCACCCTGGAGCAGGAAAACACAGAACGGTCTCTTCATATGTAAAGCCAGGGGTATGCATTAGTCGCAGTTAAACTGAACTTAAAGACACAAAAAGAAATCAAAACAAATCATGTGACTGACACATTCCAGATAATGGAAGAGCATGCCTAAATACACAAAGAGCAAAGGAAAAAACATGGAGCAACAAGAAGTTCGTACAAAGCATTCATTCAGTGTGGAGGCCAGCAGAAGTTTTGGAAACTGCATGGAATCTGTCTCCGCTGCAACATCATCAATAAAGCAACAAATGTGAACAATTAGGTAGGTGTTTTGTCTAATTGTCTTCTTTAATGTGATGATAATAAGAGTGTAGAAGTGTCTACATTTTAACTACATGTCAACAGTGGGTTTACATTAAGGGCTACAATTCCTGCATTGCAGCAAAGTTTTAGTTATTGAAATTATTCGTTTTTGTTTTTCTTTCAAAGTGCTTGTTGCGACACCCCTAACAGCAGGTGGCACTCCAGGCGACCACCTATGCCAAGACATAGCTCTGACCAATGATAACACCAGCTCTGGACATGTCTCCTCTATGGACATCTGTTAATCCAGTGTAGAGACAAACCACACAGCATGTTTTAACTTTACTAGACAAACTAGCTGGGAGTAAATGTGGAGATCTTAAGCGTCTGTAGCGAGAAATCAACTGATCTAACTCACTGTTGGTACGAATAAACCCCTGTGGAGTATTTTTACCCTTGTGGGAAAGGTGTGCACATGCATACACAGATGTGTGCACACACTCTCAGCATTACATTGGTAGCACACACACACACACATGCACAGCCACACAGGTTCACTACACACACACACACACGCACAGCCACACAGGTTCACTTTACAGTTACTACAAAAACAGAATCTAGTATTCTCGATAACACTGGTTCAGTTTGCCCAGATTTTAATGCACGTTAAAGTTTACGAGGCTTAAAATAATAATCTATTCCAAATTGCAATAATCTCCAAAACAAAACGGGAGACTTGTACCTTCAAATTAAATGCAGGCAGTGCATAAAACATGGTTGACTGGTAGAAATGTTTTTTTTTAAATGAAATGATAAAATAAATGCATTATATTCTATAGCTGAGTGGATACAGACCTACTCCACACTAAATACTCGTAGTTCTGAGAGAGGCATAATAGGCATTTTCAGACCAAGCTTAGCAGCACAGAGTTGCAGACTATGGTTAGTGAATCCACATCTCTGTTTAATTATTATAATTATTACTTAACTGCATGATTGGGCTCATTCAAGTTCAATTGCAACAGTTTTTTTCCTACTTAACTGACTTTCTTTTACTGACTTTACCATTTACCTGTCTTACTGACTGGTAATAACTGACAGCTTAATGGGTTTGGTGGTAGACTTGATGCGCACATTCTGTCTGACAATATGACTCAATGACTAACCACAACTGTGCAGCATCACAGCCGCTGAATCATATGCTGGAATTACACTCACACAGGGAGCAGCAATCATTTAGGTTAAACTAATAACTAATAACTGGGAAACAATCAAGACCCAGACCCAGACAAAGGAGTGTTCCATTAAGAAAGGCCCTGAGGTTTCAACAGGACAATTGAGTCAAGAAACAACAGGACATGTGAGGTATTAAAAACATGCCGGAACTTTTGTTTTTGCCCCACATTTGTCTTGTGATTTGCAACCCACATTATTTCGTACAAACCAACACAGATGGCCCAGATATTCATTCATATTTCTTCTCAAGGTTAAACTGACCATCAGCTACCTGTGGTGTTAGTGGACGGGACTATCCCAAGCGGTTTAGTTCACAAAGAATGAATGAAAAACACACTTCAGCAGATTTGAGTCACCAGGGTTCTGTGGGAGTTCAATGATCTAACAAGTTGTGTCTTATTTTGGGAATAGAAAAGTCAGTAACCAAGAAGTAAGTAGTGGCAGGTTACAGAAATAATGTATGATTCATTGATCAAACATCATCAGTATACATCTCACCATAAAACACTTGTCTAGGTCACAAAACGTAAGGTGAAGAATGTTCTGGGCAAGAATAGAATTGCATTTTTTTATTTGGGTTTAAATTTCAGCACAGGTTTTGTTGTGACATTGAGAGAAGAAACCAACTTGGTAAAATGTTTACAAGGTCTATTTCTTTATACTAGGTGGATAATAATTGATCCTGAAGCCTGGTGTTTTTATGAAAAGAAGTTTTGTCCAAGATTACAGTCCCATAAAATAATGTTGTTTGGCTCAATTCATGGACAAGTGCATTCAAATTCCTGGATGCTCCCTGTGGCAGAAGTAAATTATATACAGTTTGTTTATAAACACTAGAAAAAGATTTCTGGTTACTGAAGCCATTGAATGTGGTTGTCAAATGCTAACATGTACATTAACATGTTTTCGACATAATTCAACAAAAAAAAGCTCGATTCTGTGTAAATTTAATGCACAGACTGACACATAAATACATCTATAACACTGTCCTTCAGCCCTATTTCTACTATGGTTGATTTTAAGAGTGTCTATTGTGAAAGAAGGCGTGTGAAGTCCAGTAACTGGACCTGACACCATGTGGCCAAACGCGCAACGGCGACGGATCAAACATTTCTGGATTAAACAAAAAACAAAACGACATGGTTTATTTACAAACTGCAAACGCGTGGCGCGCCGTGCGTGAGACAAAACGCGTCCATCCAGTAGTCAGAACCACGGTCCTGCCTTCTGCTCGGTGCTGCTGATAAAAGCCTAACGGTCGTGTGATCACAGTCCAGTGAGGAGACGGTTATGAACACATGAGCGACTCCACAGCAGCCACATGGACTGAGCACCATGAGGGGCGGACAGGACGGATAAAGTCCTCTCCGACCGGCCTGTCGAGCCCTACTGGGGGAGTCTAAGAGTGTGTTTTCGCATCCACTTACGCATCCGAGGCTGCCTGCTGAAAATACATAACCATCGCGTATGTACTGCGCCGCCGTCTTCCGCGTTTGACACAGAATCTCACAGAAGTCGGTGCACGGCAGGAGCCAGTGGAAGCGCACGGCGATTGTTGCCGCCCGAGTCCGTGTCTATTGGTTCCCTTTCAGCTGGGGCAGCGTCAGCACAACACACACACACAGTCTCCATTTGCAACTCCATCGCCCCCCATGGGCGTGCGAGGCCGCGGGTTGTGACGCAAATGGCACTGGGTTATTTGCAAATGACATATCTTCCCAGTTCAGTGTCGCCGCCACAAGGACTGGTCCAAATCAGATCTAACAGAGAGATTGATCCATCCTGATGCTGGCTGACTGCTAGATACGGGCGGATAAGCAGTTTGCTCTACCGGGATGCGGTTGCATAAGTCGGGAAACTTGATAAAATGTGCACGGAGCGAGTCGGATCCGTGGATGGTGTTTGGTGTTTGTTTCGATCCGATCGTGATGGCCTGCACGGTGAAGCTCTGCGCACGATCGCTCCTCCACTTTTTGGCCACAGGAGGAACCAAGCAGAGCGCTGTGCTCTAGGAAACCGAGTGGCCTCGCTGAGGTGGATGAGTGGTGGCCAGCGCTAGGACGCATGCACGCAGCTGACGGGGGGAAAGACAGGACAGCCAGAGTGGAACTTGGGACCGCATTCACGAGGCCATAAAGGGCCCACATGAACACTATTGTGTGCTTTTTTATCCATGACTCCCCAAGTATTTACAAAAGGTTGGCCAACACACACAAAATAATCGCGGCGAAATGGTGGCGGCGGTTTCAACAGCAGCTGCTGCCACCGTGCTCTGCGCAAAAGCAGCAACACAATCATTGCGCAGCGCCGGACTTCCCCCAGTTTTGTGCAAACTATGTGTTTGGTTCCAAAAGAGTTTTATTTATTTTACCTCTTTCACGCTGTCCGCGTCTGGCAAAGCGGAGAAACCAGAGCGCAGGGCAGTCGCCGTTCTCATGGCACGATTTGCATCGCCTCTATTATTCCCGAAAATCTCCTTTTACACGGTTATATTGTCACAGCAAAAACGTCACTATTTTGAGCAACAAAGGGTCAGCTTAACTCGATCAAAGGAAAAGGCTGAGAATAAAGTGCACCTTTCACGCCGTTAAAGAAGAGGCCCCTCGTAACGATTGCAGCGTGGAGGGCTGAGTGCGGCGTAAAAACGAGCTAACCTGAATAAAATACACACAAAGACAAGGTGCAACACTCACATCAATACGTCCATCACCACTCTGGTACTAACATCAAAACATCCACGCTCATCTGGAGTAGAATAAATCCGTAAGGGATGGCATTATTGAGAACGTTAAACGCTGCGTTTTGCGGCTCCGTGCCACCTTTTCCAAGAAGCAGCTTGGCGCACAGGACCGGTGACCCTTCCATCTTTGCGCGTCCTTCCACCGAGCGAAATCGTGATTTATCTCGCGTTTGACGGTTTATTGGTAATCAGAACACATTGAGGCAGGCGATTTCATCTTTAGGGGCCTAGGCGCTGTATGTAAAGCTTGCTACGAGTCTCTGGAAGTGTTCCTCTCCCCACCGCGGCCAAGCAGAAACAAGAGGGCGATGACGCCATTTTCTGCAAAAACAACCACGCTCGGGAAAGCCAACGCGAAGGTGGTTTAGCCCGCTCCGCAGCCCTCCAGCCTCACTAAACCGTGTTTAAAACCGAACCTTACCTTAGATCTCTAGGATGGGTGGTGTGACGGTGGGTTTAAGGGGTTTTGACGGCACCGAAGCGGCGTGTTCGCTTCAGGAGAGCGTTTATTCCGCCTGCCAGCGTCCCCGGCTCACTCTGAACAAGTTCCTCTGCGAGCCGCTGTCTTTGTGCACCCAGAGGAGCCTCTCGGCATAAAACCTAGCCAGTCTCTGCGCAAAGGTGCACCCTCTATGTCCATGTTCGGCAGGAAAATGTCGTCAATTCAGGCCGACATCGCCTCAAATGAGCAGCGTTTGGCATGTTTTAGCTAAACAAAGTTATATATGGGCCCAAATATTTACCAAACAGCCACAGCAGAGCTAATTTTTACACCAAAACGCGCAACCGTGTGAGTAGAGAGCTCTCCACAAGAGTCCACGACGCAGGCGTAAAATGAAGTAAAGAGAGGTCGCACCTCATCCAAAAGTTAATGCACAGGACAAAATACACATTTGTGAAATGTATTTTAAATTCATTAATAGAGTAATACATGAATCGACTATGTTTTTTGGGGGGGAAATAACTTGTCTTACATTGCAAATATTGTTCTCTGGCTATAAATGACCACTATTAGTTGTTATTATTTAAAAATCGTTTGAAGAACAGAATAAGCTACTGCACCACAAGTGATTTACTGTATGATATTGGTGTGGGAATAGTTCGTTATATCCCTGTTTAAACTTTGGAAAGGAGCAAAACGTAACAAAATCAATTATTCGTCATAGAATGACAAATACACAACCAAAATAATAACTTTTACATTTATTAAAATTGTAATTGACTCCAAATCGCGTTTGATCTCACGAGAACTTAAACCCGGACGATATTAAATCAATAACCGTCTTTGTAGGAAAATGCCATAGTAAATATAACTTTGAATTCTATTCAATCTAGAAGATGTACTCACCTCAACACGCATATTGAAATTTTAAAATATTCCTTGTTTGGAAGTAAAGTTTAATACGCAGTGTCCCATTACGTTAATTGTCAAAAGCATACCAAGTTAGCAGGTTAGCTGACTGATTTATACTAGTTATTTTTTGGTAATTGGTTGACTGTAAACACCAACTTGCACTTTTAAAACAAACCACATTATGTTGCAGAAATGCAGTTATGAACGTTTGTATTACGTAATGCCACCAATTTAGAAATAATTAGGTTTACTGACCTTCAGGCATAACGATATTAGCATAAACATATGTGACGTCATATAGAAAAAAGAAATTTACCCTTTTCCGAGACCTCACGATTCTTCTGTCCGTTAAATTTAATTTTAAGTAATGTAAACTTAAGTTATCACAAAATATTCTGGTTAGGTTGATGAAATAAAAAGTTTATGAATTCATCAAACTCCTCTAACTTGGCTCAGCATCTGTGTGATATTAAGCTAATTAGCGCCAGCTGCTGGTTTCCTGTTAAAATTAACTTGTATGAACGTGTTTATATACTGTATGTGGGAAAAGGTGTTCAGCGGTTATGATGAAGTAGGAAGCTGTTCTGCTTTGAAAACTTCAACAAAACATTATGTCTTAGAGAACCAAAAGTACCAAAACTGAAATTAAAATTTTGAAATACAAATTAAATGTCCTGAAGTTTTAATTTAATTCAAAGTTGAAAAAAATATATAAACACACACATGTATTTAATATAACTATTGAATGGTTATACTCATATTAACTTTGACTGTAATATAACTATTGAATGGTTATACTCATCTTATATTAACTTTGACTGGGGATTTGAGTTGTTATATTTTAAATGTGATAGCAAAAATTAAAAATAAAATAGAAAAAAACAAGGATCCCAAGCCTGGAAGTTATCATATGGAAGGAAGTGATGATATTATTTAGAAGTGTATCATTTAGCTGACAGAGGTAGAAAACCTGAAACCTTTTGAAAGAAAACTTGTAATAAGTCTAAAGAGGATTTTACAACCCACGGTGCATGGACCACTAGGGGTACACAAGGGCCCTGAAGGAAGTACATGGATTTATTTACTGAGGGTTCTTCCCTAGTCTATTGCTGTATTGAATGTACCTGAGGTACACCTGATGTTATATAGTTTTCAATCCCTTCGTGATAGTTGACAAAAGTCAAACTTTAACCTGTTAAATTTTATTACCAAATATTTGTTAATCTTGCACAATTTTTTGGGAACACCCTGGGCAGTTCAGTCCATCACAAGGCCTCATTCACACTCCCATTCATACCTTTGGCCACACACAGGTGTAAATGGTAAAAGAGTAGCTTGTTCATCAGTTAGAAAAAAACAGTAGTAACTGATGGTTTTCCACTATGGAGCTTGTACATTTTCCCCATGCATTTTTTTCCCTTTTCCTCCAACGTCCAAAAACATGTAGAATTATATCACATTTTTCAGCATTAAATGACCTCAGGTCAGTGTGAATGGTTGTTTGTCTCTACTGTACAGTATATGTGGCCCAGTGATGAAACTGTCAAGAGTGTACCTTGGTGTACCCTCAACCAATGACTGTAAGGATTGAGCCTAGAGGTCTCCTCTGTGACCCTGAAAGGGATTAAGCCGGAAAAGATGAATGCAATTTTACCCCAACATTCTGATGTACGGAGGAAGTTCTATCAGGAAACACATTCAGTTTGATATATGTGTCAACTCAACAAAGCAGACAAGAAAGACAGGATAAAGGTGAAAAGTACACCACGGTACTCCTTAATCTGGAGCCAATTAAAGTACAAAAATAAAAATATATCAAGGGTTTGTTTTACCACAATCACATACTACGGTGTAAACCGTAGACATCGCATATTGATGACCTGCCTGAAACACAGTAGCAGCAGACTGCACAGTGAGAAGTGGAGCGTCAGAGTGTCTTCTCTAGTTATTTTGATTTTCTTGTTAATCAATAAAGCCTTTCCTAACGTGAAACATGAACTCTTAAGTAACTTTGACTTAAGTCCAAAAACAAACAACACAGTAAAATGATTTTAAATATTTGGCTAAGGTTGAGCTATTTCTGGACAAACTTTCATGTGGACAAATTTACAGTGTTTCTGCCAAATTTAATAATAATAATAATAGAGTCCCTTATCCATCCTATAATGGGGAAACTTACAGCGTAAGAAACCGACACAGGCTGCCATTACATATGTGGTTGCAACTGACAAGCTGCCACATCAGAGCTATGTTCTATGTTTAAGCTAGCTATTTTACTGTAAGCTAGGTATTCTACTATTAAGAAAAAAAGGTAATATTTTGTGTATATTTGACTTACCTTTTCAAATTTGTGGATTTCACTAATAGTTTCATTTTTTTGCTATACTTTAGCTACTTTAAGGCTTCCCTAGTATGGCAACTTTGAGCTAGCTTTTAGCATTTTGGCTAACACCAGAGATTATTGTGGCTATTTATTTATTTTTGGCTAACACCAGAGATTATTGTGGCTGTTTATTTATGTATTAATTATTTGGTTTGTTTGTTTGTCTGTTTTAAACCAACCGTCTTGTAGCAATATTTCCTTCAATTCCATTGTCAAAAACAATTTAAAGTTGGACTTCGTATGTGTGCCCTATGTTACTGAACATTCACTTTACTGAGGAACAGGCAAAATTTTGGACAGCACTTTAATGAACTGTGGAAAAAAAATCCCCTTCTCCTTAGAAGATATCTCAAAGCAAATCTATTAAAGAAAATCACTAAACTCGTTCTATGCAAAGTGGCCATAAAGTGTGGTTGTTGGGGGGGAAATTTATAATCCCTGCCAGCTCTTTCCTTTAGGCTCACGAGAGCTCTCAACAAAAGGTGCCCACCACTATCGCCCATACACAATTAACTAAAGCACCAGCATTATTCCATTATCATAAGAATGCTGTTTGCAATAGGGAGGGGGGGGGGGGGCTCCATGGAGGTGGCCGAGTGCAGCCCAGCGCTTTTATCTTCTCAGTTACATACAGGCTGCATTTATCACGCCACACGGTGACATGTTTGGACACTTTCTGAGCACGACAAATAATTTGTTTGCGATAGTCATTCAAAGGACTTGTTTGTTATTATAGTACGGAGATAACAACTGGTGCTTGTTCTAAAGAGACTAATGGAAATGTCAAGGGTAAAAAAAAAGTGTCAAAAACATTGAATTAATAATTAAAGTGAAGAAGACTAATTATAATAATAAACAATAAATCCAATTAAAAACGTATTAGCCTACCTACCTATTTATTCAGCCAAATCACAACACAAAATGTGTTTCCGTAGTCATGCTCTGAACCGGAGGTCCTCAACAGGTGGTCTGTGACCCCTAGGGGGTTCGTGGAGGTACTGCAAGAAAGAATGTAATTTGCCAAATTAGACAATTATGATAGATTATATTTGTAAATAACTATTAAAAAATCATATCATATATTGTATTATCTTTGACTAGCTTGTACTTTTTAGTATGCAAAATTTAGTATAATTAAAATATAATATATATATAAAAAATACAATACAAAAGAACAGTATTTGTACTTTAATTCAAGTGCTGCTCAACACACAGTGTCATGATGTGGGGGGGACTTTTTTTTTTTTAAACTGCCTGCTGTCATTTTGGTTTATTCAAGTGAAAGGTACCACTGAGAGCAGTGGGTAGAATGTGCCTGCTGGATGTCATGCTCAGATAAATCTAATTGAATGTCGTTATTTGTCTGGAGAGCAGTAATGGATGGCAGCGGAGGGAACCATCTGTACATGTGACTAAAGTTACTGCTGCAGCTCTGTAGCAGCAACATCATTGTAATTTTAGAATTTACTCACCAGGTTGAAGCCCTTGTACCCTGAGCCCTTCATCAACACACTGCCATAATTAGTTTCCTGCACTTGTTAAATCAAATGTTCTAACGGTCATGTTCACAGTGAGGCCACATACTTTCTTAATAGACTTTAAACTCATCCGTTAATATTTTTTAAAGCCTATGTGACTAATTAACAGGTTTACTCCTCTCTAATGAGATGCATTCTGAACACCAGCTCGTTTTCATGCAGATTAACAATCGTTTCCTCTACAATGTCCGAAACAAAGGGAAGGCATGTGGTTTATGGATGAAGTGATTCCAGTCTTTAGAAGCTGGTGTTCATATAACTGGGATGGGACAACACCTGTTTCCAGTAGGGCCAGATTTAATAAAGTAAGGCCCGAGAGCCAACTGCTCTTTTTCGTGATACATTTGAGTATAACTACGTTTATACAAATAAACTGGGCTCTAATGGATTTATTTAGCTCGAGGAATCTGCCTTCCATAATGGGTTAGGTTAATTAATCCAAGTCACAGAGGTTTGGACATGTTTTTAGACAGGATTTTAACTGTCCAAATGCTCTAGTTACACATCACTGAAAATCCCCCCTCTGTAAAAAAAAAAAAAACAGGTCTACTTTTCACTTACAGTATAAGGCTCCTTTAAAAAAATCCTTACAAATACAAAGAGCTTGAATTGCTTTTAGCCTAAAAAAACCCCAATATAACTAGAAATTTATTTAATTATTGAAGAACCAAAACAAACAAACAACAAATGTTTGAATGCACTAGCACCTAACAGTTAACCAAAATTGCTATAAACGGAGGTACAAAGTAACCTTGCAAAGAAGCTATCTAAAAAAAATCCCCAATATTTACTTTTTGTCTATTTAGAAAGTCGCTGTAATTTTTTTCCCTGCCGTTTTCCTTCAATCTGTTGCAGTATCTGTTTCCACAATAGTGACCCAGAAAACCAGTGAACAGAAAAAGTACATGGGATGACCACTACTGCAAATCCATCCACACACATCTTATGAGAAACACCCCACAGTGCAACACCAAACACAAATGTTACAAAAGTATTTGTAAGAAAATATAGAGATCTTCAATTTCCAATCTACTTACTCAGACAATGTGGGCCTGTCTAGCTGAATACAGTGATGTTATACTTGCAGGAATTGAAGAAAGACAGTACACGAAGATCTTCCTCCACAGCTGTCTTTTTTGTAACCAACTCACCTAGTGGAGGAGTATGTAATTGTTCTGCCTGTCATGGCAAACAAAGACAAATTATTAGCAGTAAAAAATGAATTTCGCTGTCCCATAATTGATTTTGTGTACCATTAAGTTGCAGTGCTGTTCCAAAAATCAAAAGTTTCTCTTAATTAGACTGAGTCTTAAAGATGTTTGGTCAAGGAAAGATACAGCAGAGATTACCTGGATGTGAAATTGATTTGTGTCCTTTTAGAGGAGCCAGCTGCTCATAGTAGCATGACATAAATCTATTCATTTTTGTTAAAAATAGTTCCCCCGTTAATGATGGGACAAAAGCAGGGAAGAAAGTAAACACCGAAAACGACCGAAACTGGCTGCAGTGTGAGGCCGAGCTGGAGCTCTGCGGAATGGCTGAATGGAGCAGAGATGAATTCTCTGTTGCACGTTTTCCACTGTAAACAACAACATAAAATGGGAGCCATAAAGAGAAAAGGGCTGTAAATGTCAGCAGAGAACAGTCCAACTACAATTTTGCCTTAAATTTTAGAGACAATCTTGGTTGTTGGATTTGTATTGAGTTCCATCAAATCACAAATTGGTCACATAAAGATGAGGAAGTTGATGTCCAAGTAAATGCCATGATCCTGGCTACTAAAATACGCACTGGAATAAGTGTCACTGCAATATTTACAATGTTGTTTTACTGATTAGGTACTTCGAACAGCACATGAATTGGATTTACTTTACACTACTGAATAATTGCAGCACTCCCAAACAACAGCCTTGAATTGTACCCAATTTTATCCTCCACAGAAACTGTTGCCGGCAAGTTCTTTCTGACTATTACAGTTGTTTTTGTGACTTGAGAGGAAGGATAACTTGAAAAGCCGTGCTAATGAGGACAACAGCCTCAGACGTTTTTCCGAAAGGACCCAGATAATTACAGATTGTTTGAAGAAAAAGCAAAGTGCTGAGAGATGAACATTGGTGTGGTGTAAGGAAATCTAGTGAGACATCTAGTGGTGTTGTGCAGTCAGAGTGACTGATGGGTTCAGGGATTATACATGAACCTGTGGGAGGATCAGGGCGTGGTCATCTTCTCATTTTGAGGGAACAACTCTCCATTCAACTATTCAAATACTGATGATAAATACACACAACCTCTGGAAGAAGTATTTCGAAATTAACTTTGGTTCTAAAGACCTGGAAAAATACGCTCAAGTATCAACACAAAATCTAGCTTGTCTGTAAACTTAGACTGTACTAAATTAAATGTTCCACAGCTATCAAAAAGCACATTTTAAGAATATTAAAATGTCAAGGAGACTTGGTGGTAAATTTGGACAAGAGAGAAAAGGCGTGGAGCTGCAAACAGATGTGGGGGAGGCAGACAATCCTCAGTGGTGACACCTGAAGGGAGGTCAGCACAAGATAGTCAATCTGTTGACTGCAGAACAAAAACATTAAAAAACAGCTGTTGTTTCAAAACAGAACAACTGAAGTTTACGTACATACATACACGTCAGCATTTGATAAATAAGTATAGCCAGCAGAGGGCGGTGGACATTTAGTCAGGGGGATCATTAAAGGGACCACAGATCCTCCTGTTGACAAAACTAGTCAGGGGGATCATTAAAGGGACCACGGATCCTCCTGTTGACAAAATTATCTTTAACACATTTCATATGAACTTTTTAAACAGTCACAAAAACTGTTTAACAAAACGCCAACATGTCAAGGAGTTACCAGTCATTATCCACGGTTGGCTTCATCTGTCGACAGCACTGGCATCAGTGGTAACAGGCTGTGCAGGGAAACAAAATCAAAAGACAGCAAGTATAAAATTTTTATAAAAGTAAGCTTAAAAAATGACTTCATTGTGAATATGCTGATTAATGTAGTTGCTGGAAATCTAAAGTACAACAGGGACAATGGAAGCATTTTTCTTTCTTTTTTGCAGGCAATACAAAAATTATAGCAGTCACATTTCCTTAGTCAAAAAAATCTGATAGTTGGTGGTTAATACATTGAACTGGACAGTGAAAAGAAAAAGTAAAAAAGCAGTTTCCTTGCTTTACAAACACCACAAAATCCACTTTCAATCATTTAATAAAAGCTTAATGACGTAAGAACATTTCTTTTTACAGCATGTGTTAAATTGAATGAAAAAAACAAACAAAACAAAAACTTGTTTTCAATCTGAACCCACATTGAATGAAACTCCTCAACGTTTACACAAAAACAATGACATTCAACAGTCACCACAGTTTGGATCAGATAGTGAAAGATAGAGAACATATAAAAAAAGATATACCAAAAATAGCGTAATATTTTAGGGGCCAAGCCGCGAAGGGTATACTGCTAACTTTTTGTGACTAGTCGCCTGAAACACTTGCCTGAAAAAAAAAATAGATTAAATCATTTATATCTCAAATATTTATATAAATAGAAATTGATTAAAGATCTGGGCTTTATGACAAAGTGCAACAAAAAAGGGAGCAGGGAAGGTTAAAAAAAGTAGACAAAAACAGTAAATAAACCTGTAGAATTTAAAGTAGCAAAAACCCCAAAATATACAGTACACCACCTGTGAAATAAACATAATCCATGAGCTTCATCTTCAACTTTAGCTGCAACAAATGGTAAAATATTGTTTCTAAAAGTGTCAACATTAAGTCAGGGTGGTTCTGTTCTCCCACATTAAACATCTTAGTGCAAATTGATTATTATACTCGCTAAAAAAGCTGCTCAACCGCACAATATTTAAGCGACAATTATGAGGCAGGTGGCAACAGGATCTCTTTAGAACGGAGAAAACAGATAAAACAAAAAGAGAGAAATGCTTCTATTGTGTAATAGTAGGCTTAATAATTGTACACAGTGAGATTAAAGCATGTCTATCTACAGTAAAAAAAAATATATATATATAGACCACCTGCCCCCCGGGGTCTGAGAAGTGTTTGACTTCAGATCTCTACCCATCAGTCTCTGGAGATAAAACCAGCTTGAAAGAAAGTGTGGGTTTGAAGTCCACAGCCAAACGCAAACAGGAATGTGGGGCTTTTTATGCTATTACAAATACTAACCAATGCCTGGTTTCACAAAACCAACCTTTCAAATAAAGAGAAACGTAGTAATGAAGCACTGAATAAGTGCCTTGCCGGGAAAAAAAACCCAACCCTAATAAAGGAGATTCTGCAACATCAGAGGCTCGAATGAATACAAAATAGATTCTCTGTCAGGATGATGAGCAGCAGACCGAGAGATGGAAGCAGGAAGTGACTGAACTTGGCTCAAGGTGAGGTGATCTCCATATACCTGGTGTGCATTTTACATTTTTATACGATTAAAAATTTCCTTAGTGACAGCAACGTCACGTTGAAGGACATCAAAATGCTGATCAGCACCTTGGTCCAAGGGCGACCTCCTGTTTACAGTGAATTTATAATTTGTGGCTATTAGTAGGGGTGTAAGAAAATATCGACACACTGAATACTGCCAGATTTAGTTTCACAACACTGTATCGATATTCTTCATACATATATTCATGGCGTTAGTTCATTTTCATTTTCTTCAGTGATTACAAATGCTGATCCCACTGTTCCAGTTTTAGAAACCTGATGTTGAGGATGTAACAGCACAGTGTGTTTACTATGCTGATAAAGTTTTCCTACAATTATACTGTTTTTCAGAAAACTCAATATATCGGCGTGCCTAGAGTATCAAAAGAATAAAAAGTACCAAAATCTAAAACATGGAACAGGGTTGTTTAAAAGGGTTCTCACATTAGCTTTAAACGTGTGTCTTTAATTACTGTGGAAAAAAATGCACTAGTACTTTTGGCTGCAGTACCAAGGGTGACCACAAGGACGAATTTGCGCTATTCACATCTTGCAGGATGTGGCATATGTCTTCAATGTTGGTTCTATTTTTAAAAAGAATTAGCGCCACCTGTTGGTTTGGCCTTCTTTTATACTTTCCTTTTCATATTTGAATGATCATTGAAAACAGGTGTACGGAAGTTAAACCATGTCACCATGTCAATTGACCAGATTTCTTTGGGAGTTGAAAACACTGATGAACAGTGAATAAAACACAAACAACTGCATTAATATTTGAGAGTTAACGTAATTTCCAAACTAGCTTTTCTTGACTAATTCTCAGAAGGTTTTGAGAAACCGGAATACAACAGGATAAGGTGAGAAGCTGAAGCTAATTCCTTCTTTAGCTCACATTTAGACGAAAGGGGACAATCGATAATAAATATAAAAATAAGAACAGATATGTACAGACTTTTTTTTTTCAACAATATGAACAATCACAATACTTTCAACATTTCTTCAAAATGCCATAGAAATTATTATTTTTTGCTTAAAAGACCACCTGTAGCTCAAACCTTACCAGTCAGTTTGAAAACAAACATTATGTAGGTATATAAATTATTATACAAAAAAAAAAGAAAAGAAAATCCAACACCGTAGTAATAATTCCTTTTTGGTTGCAAGTGCAAACATGTGTAGGAGTTTGTGTTTCTTGCAACATGTAAAGCAGAACTTTGAAAAACCTTCAAAGTTAGACTTCTTCCTTTATTGAAAATGCAATGCATTGATGAGTTGTCATTGGTAAGACAGATCATTTCCTTCCCCGTGTGAACAGGTCCTGTTGTGGCACTACTGGAGACATGTGTGGAGACAGCCAGGAGGGAAGAGACGTTAATAAGTGCACTTTGAACAAGGGCATGCTGGGATAGGAGTAGAAAGTTGCAGACAAAGGTAGAGGCACCAAAACAAAAAACAAAAAACCCCAAAAGAACAACAAACTCATCTCTGCCTGAGACGAGGTGAGAAACAGGGAGAAGAAGAGGCGAGGACAGAGGTGGCGCTGCTGAGTCCTACAGTAGTCGTGTCGGTAGGTCCTTCAATTCTCTGTCTCCCCAAGAATACACTTTAACCCAGCTGCTCAGCTGATCAAACTGGGCAACCACAGTTTTTTTGTCCATTGAAAAAATGCCTTAAAAAAAAAAAACTTAAAAAGGGCATTTCCCTTTCCGGAGTACATTTCTTTGTAAATCCATCTACCTCTAAAAAAACAAAACAAAAAAAAAAAAAAAAACCAGGGCAACCACAGTGATGCTCGGTGGCTTTTCCTTTTCCTTTTCCTTCCTTCCTCGTGTGTGTGTGAAAACTCTGCAGTCCAAACTCAGCTGAACCGAACTGTTATCAGGTAAACAAGCATGACATCGTAAAAATGAAGAGAGTCTTGAGCGACGATGGGGGCCGTCGCTGGAAGAGAGTGGCACGGTGGGACGTCGCGGTGGGGGCGGGGGGGGTTACCTGCAGATTCCTGTCAGTGATGCAACTTGGCCTGTGAAGAGGACAAAGATTTTTGTAAAGAGAATTAAATACCAAACATACTTTTTATATGTTTTACTGGAGCTCTAAACTAAAAAAAAATTCTTAATACACAAATATTTGTTTTTCATTTTCAATTCATTTGTTTTCTGTTAATGAGAAGAATATAAACATCACAGTCAGCATTTTCCTGCCTGACGTCCTCACTCCTACAGTGTACACTCACTGCATATTTACTGAACCCCAACCTAAAGTAGTATCTGTGACGCTAATTGGTGTCTGTGAAGCGTAAAATAAAATATTATATCATATGAACCACACTGTTCTACCTTAACACTGATGTCACAGCGTCCCACTTCACAGCCCTGTGACCCACAGCTGCGCAATCCACATGACATGAACCTGACCATGAACTCCATCTCTGCTTCACTATGAATAACAATGAGCCACAGACCTACAGCAGGTGACACTAACCTGCCTCGGTGAGTCCGACCCAGATGCCAGAATGCCCCCGATGTCGTTTCCCTTTCCGAAGAGGCTCTCCAGTCCGTCCGGCTTGCTCAGCTTGCTGGCCTTCCCTCTGATGGAGCCTGGACTTCTCCTCTTCTTCGCCTCCATCCCTCCAACACCGTATGATAAATGGGCTGCGGCGGGAGCTGGGGGCTGAGGAAGTTCCCTTGAAGGTAAACCAGTGGTGCTGAGACTGCGACTAGACGACAAGAAAAGTGAAACTCTTATTTAATTAGTCACTGTGTTTTGAATAGTTAATGTTTTTTCA